TTCAGACCAAGAACCTTGAGTGCAATGAGGGAGAAAGCGAGGAACGGACTGGGAAGGACAGCAACGAGAGCGTGTACGGACGGAGCAGGTCGAGTGGCGTTTTGCTCGGGCTGACTACAGCGGCGCCGGATGGAGCAGCGGCACCGGAGCATGCGGGCGACATCGACCCGTGGCGCACGGACAAACATTTCTATCTGTGTTGTCAATTTTTCTCGTTTTTTTTCTGACTTTCCGTGTTGGTTTTGTGTGATGACATCGTCACCGGTTTTGTAGAGAGACCCGTCAGATATGGCGTGGCTAACCCGGGTGCCTTGGTTTTGTGCCTGATCGTGGAAGACCCCTTCAATGTGGAACGATTCTTAGCTAATGTCGATATTTTCACTGCGTGCCTAACACAGACGATCGGGAGAGGTTCGGGTGATTGTCCATTGCAATCATGGCTTTGGTTGGTTGTTCTTTTTCACTGTACGGCCGCAGACACATTCTGACAGCACTTCAGACAGCAGCTTTGTGCCCCGCCAGCTGCTTGTTCCATGGTGCTTTTGTACAGACAGCACTTCAGACAGCAGTATGCTGTAGTCGGCAATCTTCCGTTTTGGTATAGAGTGTGACAGGGAGGGGGTGATGCTACTGTAGTCGAACGGTGGGACGGACGTGCAGTTCAGTTTTTGGGCACGCGTACGGTACTGCAGGGATTTTTAGGTGTACCTCTTCGGGCTCTTGGACACCTTTTTCTCGTTATATGTGTGCGTGTTCTTTAGATCCTCAGATGGCTCTACTTGTAGCACTTTCGTGACCACGGGCTGAGAGTCTTTGCTAGATTTTGGCATTTAGCAATTGACATACGGTTTAATGTGAAGACAACAACAACAACAACAACGACTCTCTCGGTCTCTTGCCTACGCAGGTATGCCATTGCTTCGCGACCCGAGATCGTTTATCTTCTGCCAAAACCGCTACGCTTCGTTTGCTGTTGTCCGGTGTGGTACTTTTCCGCAGAGCATGGATCACAGAGGGACCCCGGAGTTTCCAGGCTTGGTTGCCACTCTTGTTTCAGATGCTGACCTCGAGGTAGGAGCAGCAGTGGTACTGTATTGTCGGCCCCATCCGCAAGAAACAGCGGTGGGTTTCGTTGGGCTGGATATATGCTGTACTTCTCGGCATTTTGGGCAATGTGGCTTGCTTGCCTGATGTTGTCAGTTTATATTGGGATCTGAGGTTCATATTTATCAATGTTATCACCGGTCGCCCCCGGTGATCTACAATATCGGTGAACCTCGTACACCTGCTATTTAGCAGCAAGTTGGGAGTTCGTCTCTCTGTTTTGCGTGATTAAAATGCAATTGACGTAGGAAATTATGATTTTCGCATGTCTTTGAATTTCACGATCGACGACCGGGAGGAAGAATATTTGGACCCTGCTCGCGATAAAGTGAAATCAAGTTCGGCAAGGAAAAAGGGGCATTTTGGCAAGGAGAAAGGGGCATAATGGCAAAGAAAAAAGCATGATAGCTCCCTTGTATCGTCCTTCCTCCTGTGGGACCCCGGCTAAAGCATATGCACAGCGAGAGTGGCGCCAGAATAGATGGGACGAACACACAAATATTTGTGGCCCACGCCGCTCGAAACACGAGCCTTTCTTCTGTGCTGAAGATGTCCCCAGGTGCATTCGTTAATCCCCGACAAAGTAACCAAACCCCCGTCGTTTCTTGCACGTGCGATCGATCACGGCCGCAATCACGCGCGCCGCCGCCAACATGGCAATAGGCTCTTGGCCAGCGATCGGCCAGTGACCCCCCATCAAGGACCCATGGCGTCGCGTACCTCGTACCCGACAACAAGGCGCAGGAAGTCCTCGCTGGGCTGGACTTTCGGGAAAAGGGAGGATACACGAGAGCGACGGTCGACGTGCTTCAGGCTGGGGGTGAGATACGAGCTTTTTCTTTGTTGGAGGGGGTTGTTGGGCAAGCGCTCACGTCGTTTCTCTTGTTTGGGTGAATAGCGGTGTTTGAGGCACTTGGATACAAGATCCGATCTGTAGAGTATGTGAGGGGGGGGATACGCTATTGGGGGTCCCAGTGCGGGGTCCCTCAAGAGCATGCACATGTACGTGTACGGTAGGCACGGGGGCCACAAACACGATTTATCGTAATAAACGCCTAATCCATGGCGGATGCACGAGATGCCGCGGAGAGGGCGGCAGCAGCGGAAAGGGCTGCGACGGAGCTGAGAGATAAGATGAACACCGCGATGGATAGGATCGTGGCGCTGAAGAAGAATTGTAAAACTAGGAAGGCAGCTGGGAGTGTAGCCGGGTCGGCGGCTGGGGGGGTGAATACCAGAGGAAGGTCCGGGAGGTTAGACGCGGGCGGAAGGACCCACACAATTTATGTTCAAGAGGAAGCGGAGGGACAGCCGCCGGTCTACGATGGCAACTTCGTCTTGTTCAGCCAGTTGTTCGATATTTTCACGGTGTTCGAGGGTCTGGCCCACACACTGCAGAGATCTAGTAACCCCATGGTCCTGATCAATGGCCCTCCTCGTAGCTTGCTGATGGAGAGGTACGGGGCACAGCTTGTGCATGAAAACGATCGAGCTCTTGGTCACCTGCTGGAGGCAACGAAAGGTGCGAAATTTCAGGCGAACGTTCTTACGGCTGGGTCGGTAGAAGGAGATGTGCGTGAGGCACATCGTTGCTGCTTGCCGACAAGCGATGCTGGGAAGGAGGCGCTCAAGCGGTCACTTTCCAGTCTGAAGGTGCGTGTGGGCCAGCACCCTCTCGACTTCTTAATCGCTTTCGAGGAAATCTTGGCTACAGTAGTCTGCGTGCGGTGGACGTGTGCACACCAGAGGGAGAGATTGTCGCGAAGTTGCGCCGCAACTTGTGCTCTGATTTCGACGTCGAGAAACGGTCTAGGCTGATGAACCCGGGGGTGGCTCGCGAGCTGCTGGAAGACATCATGTACGACACCCACAATGAGCATGAACTCAGCAACCCAGGACGGCAGCACGCCATGTCGTGCTGACCAGCATGATATTCTCATGGCGGTGGGATTTTTCTGGACTGTGGAGGTTTTTCTCTTCAATAGAGGTGTTCCCGTTCAGCAGCCGTTCCAGCAGCAGCAGGCGCACGGTGGGTTTGATCAGCAGCAGCCAGGCGTGGTGTATGGCAGCCATGGTAGATTTTCAGCAGCAGTCGCGGCAACAGCAGCTGCTGGCGGCCGGTGGGCAGGTGAATGGTGGGATGTTTGTTGGTGAGGCGGGGGGGGGGCTGCTGCCGGTTCGTTTGCGGCGTTGTAAAAGCTCCTGCCAACGTAGCTTCTCTCCCCAGCGGCCCGCGACATCACGTGTAGCACCTGCAGTTGCGCGGCAACGCGATGAGCTAGATCTCACGGAGGCCGGGTACCGCAGTCGGCATGTAGCGGAGAAACACATGCTCGGATCGTATCACGTCGTTGTATTTTCAAGGTCCGCCGAATCGCAACAGGCCAAGCAGTCGTCGCAGCAGCAGCAGCAGCAGCCAGCAGCGTCACTGGTGCCATCATCCACAACAGACCACGTCGATGAGATCCGTCCCGCTGCCCCATCTACAACGGTTCGGTTATGTGGAATGGCGTCGGCACCGGCGGCGACGGTGGTGTGTGACGAACAGTCAGAGGAAGCGATAAGAGCAGCGAAAACAGCAGTGTTGGTCCTGGCGGAACCTGCCGTAAGCAGCAGGAGAGTCGGCAGCAGCGGTGTGAAGCGGTGAAGCCTCTTCCGATGCTGGGGGGGAATCCAAGGTGCATGCGCCGGCAGCGGCGGCGACAGCGGTGGCCAGACCTGCAACAGCAGTGGAGACGACGGCATCTGCGGTTCGAGAGGGGCGCGTGGTACCCTTGAGACCCAGAAGGATTGCATACGCAGGAGGTGCATGCGAAGGGAGACCGCAACAACGGTGGTGAAAAGGAGGACCGAGCAGCGGTGACCGCTGCCGCCGCAGCGGCGACGGCGGAGACGGCGCGGCCTGGGTTGGAGCGTCGCATCCCTTTGATAGAGGGAAGCGGTCCCGGTGGAGGAGGGCGACCATGCGGGCCGTGCTGGGAGCGGACTTCCCGTGCGATCGAGGTAGCGTTGCATGGGCACATGCCGGGGGGTGATGCACCGAGCGGCCCCGTCAGCGGCAGCGACGGTAGCAGGAGCAGCTGCTTCGGCCAGAGCCCCGTCGGCAGCCGCAGCGGCAGCAAAAGCGGCGACGGCAGCGGCGGCTTCGGCCAGAGCTGCGACGGGGGGAACGGCGCCAATGGGAGCGGCAGCGACGGGAGCGGCATCAGCCCGAGCGCCACCGGCGGCAGCAGCGCCACCGGCATCGACGTGCTCAACGGCAGCAACGACAGCGCGAGCGGGGAGGAGGACCCGCGAGCGGGGGGAGAGTCTACCCTTGTCTGTTTCCCCCCCCGCCCCCCGCCCCCTCCCATGCGCCCCCACAGCGCCACACGATCGCTTGCGAGAGACAATGCGTTGATCTGTACGTTATTCTCGTTTGTGTTTGGTGTTGTTTAGTTCTTCTGGGTTCTTCTGGGTTTTGACTTATGTTAATTTTGGACCCATGTTTTTGAGTGACATGCGGAATTCAATGATAACTGTCGTAATCTGCTGGTTGCACTTCTGTCAAGAACCATGGGAGGGGGGCGTACTCTTATGTTTTGCATGCCTTTGCGGTTAGACCATTGACCACGCGTCCTCGAGAGGACGGAGCAGGACCGATCACCGATGGCCAATCGTTCCTTTCTGCTTTGCCAAAGGTGGCTCAGAAATGTCTTCCCTAGTCTGTCTATCCTAACGATATCTCTTCCCGCCTTTTCAACCCACCTCCTATGCCCCACTACAGCTACCGTCCTTTCCTCTCTATTCCATGCCTCAAGCATCTCCCTGTACGTACTATCTATTTTTCCCAGGTCAGTCACGTACACTTCCCTCTCCTTCTCGTACTACTGACATTCCGCGACTACATTAACACGGTCTTCGCATTCGAAGCCGCAATCACATTTGAACTCGTCGTCTTCGTCGTCTACCGTCCTACGTCTTCGTCGACGTTCTCGAAGGCCTATGTCCCCGGTCCTGAATTTGACCTTAAAGCTTTGTCCCTGCATCCATAGGTCCATGTAGGTATTCCTTGAACCCTANCCTGCATCCATTGGTCCATGTAGGTAGTCCTTGAACCCTATTCCTTCCTTCAACATTCCGTACACTAGACCCTCCTTATCCTTGGATTTTTTCCTTAGATTCTGTCCTTTTCTGTCGGCACAAGCAACAGATATCTTTTCCTTGAACCCCTGTAGACCCTCCGTTCCCAGCGTTTCATCTTCGTCGATGTCGAGCCCCTTCCATACGTCCTCTACAACCTTGACCCATTCCGTGGGTTGTC